CAAACCATCAATTCTGTCAGCCTTCCTCGCCTATCACGTCGATGCTTGCAGACATGCTTGGCATGCTGCATTCGACCGAATTAACGTTCTCCGCCCAAAAACCCGAAAACCAGGCCAGTCCTCAGGTACCGGAGTGCCTCATGCGAAAACATGTGGCGCTCTGAAAGCGAACTGGCAGATTGTCCAAAAAGTGCGGTAAAGTGATGCAGTGTGCATCGTTGCTGGCTTGGCCAGTCGTTCCATAGGCAACAAGAGCTGAGATAGAAAACGGAAAGGGTTGAGAACTGGAACTTCAAAAAATGCGAGGTTCGATGATTTTGCCTAAAAAATAGTCAAGGCCTTCTCGGCTCTTGCGCCAAACTCCAAAGACCCCTGACAGGCTCAATTCATATATGGATACTTCATGGTGAGTTTCCATGTGAGACGATGAGGCTTACCTCAATGGCAAAAAGAACGTAACAGTGTAACTCCTATGGGTACCTATGGCCAACATGTGCTAACATGACGGGCCAAGGTACAGATCGTTAAACAAAAAAAGGGAACGCAATGCCCAGCTTGTCCAGGCATAGCAACGGAGAGAGTCATTCGAATCATTGAGCTGACCCAGTGGAAAATTTACCTCCAGGTATCGGCACCGGCAAGAATCAACACTGAAACACTATGAAACACTGGAATCGGCAAATCGTGGAAACAAAAAAAGACTCAACACTGAAACGCGATTGAAATTTGATGAGGCGGTTGAAAGGTGACTGAAACAGCTAACAAATCTCAAAGCAAAATAAGATTGGAACTCTTCTGGTATATCACCGAAGGCCTCATCAAAAATGCAGGATTTTGCTGGTGCAACTCGGTGCAACAGTTGCAACATGTTTTTGTTTCTACATCTTCTACATTTTCTACTTGTTGTCTTGTCGTGCGAACGTGTCTCACAAGTCATGGCACAAGCTGAACAGCTCAACACAGGAGGCCCGGGCTGATTTGGTCACCGGATGCACAATGCCATCCTCCAGTGGGGAGCAATCTGGAACCCTGAAACTTCATAAACCAATGGCCACATAACAACACTGCTGCCATATTAGTATATATTGAGACTGGGTGCCGGTATTTACGCACTCCGTGAGCTTTCGTGTTCTGGATTAGGTAGGATGCCGCAAGTCCTCTTCCGCGCACTCCCGTTGTCCTTCTGTAGCGGTCGGTCGTAGCTTGAGCCAAGCCGCCGGAGCGGGATGCAATTGGAATTATCCCTTGGCTGGCAGACATGACTGACCTATACACGTATGTGGAGTTGCGTATGGCACCCCCCGCTTCGAATGATAGTTTGAATTTGGGCGCAGGAGAGTAAACGTCAGGGCTTAAATTTCTCCACCCGTCAATTCCATTCAATTGGCTCCAGTAGCCTTCTTCAAAAACATATCTCCTACACTGGTGCTATCCGGTTCCCCATGCTCGTCGAAAGACTTGCGTGGATCCCCGAATTATGCATCGATCCGCTGGCTTGCCGAAGGACGTGCCTGCTTCACGAATACACCATGCACGAATTAGGATTTACGTCTTGAAGGCTGGTACTACCAGAGGTTTTACTCTGGCCTTTAAAAAAATAAGCCCAAAGAATATCCCCAACAGCAAGAAAGCAGCGGCCGTAGATCCCAAGCAGTAATTCCATATAAGCGTGGTAGTTTTTGTTTCATGACCAAGCAATGCAGGGCATTTTTGCGCCGTCCTGCCCGCCGGGCCCGCCGGCCCCCACTACTACTACTGCTTCTGCTACAACAACAACAACAACTACTACTACTACTAATACTACTACTACTACTACTACTACTACTACTACTACTACTACTACTACTAACTCCTCCTACTCCTCCTACTACTCCTACTACTCCTACTACTCCTACTACTCCTACTACTCCAACTACTCCTACCACTACTACTACTACTACTACTACTACTACTACTACTAGTACTACTACTACTACTACTACTACTCCTACTACTACTACTAACTCCTCCTACTCCTCCTACTACTCCTACTACTCCTACTACTCCTACTACTACTACTACTACTACTACTACTAGTACTACTACTACTACTACTATTACTACTACTACTACTACTGCTACTACTACTACTTCTTACTAACTACTACTACTACTACTTCTACTACTACTACTTCTTACTAACTACTACTACTACTACTACTACTACTACTACTACTACTACTACTTCTTACTAACTACTACTACTACTTCTTACTAACTACTACTACTACTACTAATACTACTACTACTACTACTACTACTACTACTACTACTAGTACTACTACTACTACTACTACTACTACTACTACTACTACTACTTCTTACTAACTACTACTTCTACTACTTACTACTACTTACTACTACTAACTACTACTTACTACTACTTACTACTACTTACTACTACTTACTACTACTTACTACTACTACTTACTACTTACTACTTACTACTTACTACTTACTACTTACTACTTTACTACTTACTACTTACTACTTACTACTTACTACTTACTACTTACTACTTACTACTTACTACTTTGTACTTACTACCTACTACTTACTACTTACTACCTACTACTTACTACTTACTACTTGCTACTTGCTACTTGCTACTTGCTACTTGCTACTTGCTACTTGCTACTTGCTACTTGCTACTTGCTACTTGCTACTTACTACTTACTACTTACTACTTACTACCTACTACCTACTACCTACTACCTACTACCTACTACCTACTACCTACTACCTACTACCTACTACCTACTACCTACTACCTACTACCTACTACCTACTACCTACTACCAACTACCTACTACCTACTACCTACTACCTACTACCTACTACCTACTACCTACTACCTACTACCTACTACCTACTACCTACTACCTACTACCTACCACTACTACTACTACTACTACTAGAAGTATTAATAGTACGCGCGGGTTCCGCGCGTTATGCGCGTTTCGCGCGGGTTCTGCGCGTGTTGTTCTGCGCGGGTTCCGCGCGCGTCGTCGCATTCAATTTTCTTCAAAAAGTTAATAACAACGAAAATCATTACTACCTTTACTAATTATAATTTCATCAATTTTACGATTAGTATCATTTCTACTACATCTGCGATGTTATTATTACTACTACTACTACGACTGCTACTACTACTACTACTACTACTACTACTACTACTACTACTACTGCTACTGCTACTGCTACTGCTACTGCTACTGCTACTGTTACTGCTGCTACTACTACTACTACCACTACTACTACTACTACTATTACTACTACTACGAGTACTAGTTCTACTACTACTACTACTACTACTACTACTACTACTACTGCTACTAGAAGTATTACTAGTACGCGCGTCTGCGTTTTGCGCGGGTTCCGCACGTGTTGTTCTGCGCGGGTTCGGCGCGTGTAGCCGCATTCAAATTTCTTCAAGAAATTACTATATTACGACGAATATTACTACTTGGGAACCTTTACATAATAACCTTGGGGACCTTGAGAACATTTACGTGGAAAACTTAGGAACCTTGAGGGAACCTTTACAATACAACCTTGGGAACCTTGACAACCTTTACTTGGGAAACTTGGGAATCTTGATGGAACCTTTACAATGCAACCTTGGAAAGCTTGAGGAAACCTTGACAATATAACCTTGGAACCCTTGAGAACCTTTACAATGTAACCTTGGGAACCTTGAGGGAACCTTTACAATGCAACCTTGGAAAGCTTGAGGAAGCCTTGACAATATAACCTTGGAACCCTTGAGAACCTTTTACAATGTAACCTTGGGAACCTTGAGGGAACCTTTACAATACAACCTTGGGAATTGGGAACCTTGGAAAACTTGGGAACCTTCAGGGAACCTTGAAGAAACCTTGAAGGAACCTTGAGGGTACCTTTTGGGAACCTTGAGCGAAACTTGACAATCTAACCTTGGGAATCTTATAGAAACCTTTTGAATGTCACCTTGGGAACCTGGACAACGTTTACTTGGGAACCTTTACATAATAATCTTGGGAACCTTGACAACCTTTACTTGGAAAACTTGGGAACCTTGCAGGGAACCTTGAAGGAACCTTGAGGGAACCTTTTGGGAACCTTTTGGGAACCTTGAGGGAA